GGTAGAGAGAGAAGATGAGAGGGGAGGGGAGGGGAGGGGGGATAGTAGAGGATAGGAAAGGCAGCAGAATACAACAGACACTAGTATGGCAACACGTAAATCAATGGATGTGTAACTGATGTGATTCTGCAATCTGTATACGGGGTAAAAATGGGAGTTCATAACCCACTTGAATCAAAGTGTGAAATATGATATATCAAGAACTATGTAATGTTTTGAACAACCAACAATAAAAATTAAAAAAATAATAATAAAAAAAATAAAAATTTCTGGCAGCTATATTTGGAAAAAAAGAAGAAAGAAACAGGTGAAATTAATTTTCATAATATGTTTTCCTTATCTCAATACAGTAAAAATGTTATCATTTAATCATATAATCATCACAAAAAATTAATAAGGAGATATTTTACATTCTTTTATCTATCCTAAGTTCTTTAAATCTGTTGATTTCATATGTGCAGTGAATCTCGATTCATACTGATCACATTTCAACTACTCACTGGCCGCATGTGGCTTATGATTCCCTGTTGAGCAGGTTGGGGTGGTGGAACTATTACCTAGCATGTGTGTAGCCCTGGGTTCTATCCCAAACACTGAAAAAACAAGAAAACAAACAAAATTTTAAAAACCCAGTGAGGAATAACTAGGAATTTATTGGGTGAGAAAGATCCAACCAGACCATTTAGAGCAATCAAGGGTGTAGAGGTGAGGAATGGCACCAAGAATTCAAGGGTCAAGTACTGGGTGATGGCAGAGAATAGGCTTATGGCAAAGAGAGGCCTGGGCTGACACTCAGGTTGCATCTGGCCTCAGTCTCACCTGGTGGAAATGGGAGCAGCATGTGTAGGTGTCAGATCAATGACGGCGAGTCATCCTCTAACTCTGCAATGTTGTGGGGCTTGGGTGGCGCTAGGAACTTACTAGGGTAGAAGTAGGAGTTACAAGTCACAACCTTTAAAGATCCCCAAGGTCATTGCTTCTTGACATGGCTCAAATGTGGGATGAGAGTATGACTGATCAGTGGAGCTCTCCTAGGACAACGGCAGGAGCCAGGGCTGAGCATGGCTTGGAAAAGGGCGGAGTGAGAACTTAGGCCCAGCCTGAGCCTCAAGGAAAGAGCCAGAGCCACCCCTCAGGCATCAGCTCACATACTGGTGAGGGAGGCTGCTCAGAAGAGATCAGAAAGGGGACTCACCCTTGTGAGCCATCTTATGGGCCTGGTACTTTCCAATGCCATCCTATTTTCCAGCTATGAAGTCCAGAAGTATGCATTATGTCCATTTTACAGACAATGCAACTGAGGTTCAGGGTTAGGGGGATTGCCCAAGGTCACATAGCTGAATGGGAGAATTCACAATTAGGATTATCCAACCTCAAAGCCAACCATAATCCTTATCCATCCCCTTACAAAATGACCACCAGGGTCTGGTATGAGCCAAAATTTGAGAAGACTTTCTTTGTGACTCTGGATCCACCTAAGTTGGGAAAAAATGAATGGGAAGTCCTATAGCCGGGAACACTGAAGGCAAGAAAACAAACAAACAAACAAAAATAGCAGAATCCTGAGATTATTGGGTAACGGAGACAGAAAGCCCGTAGCCAGTAACAGGAAGGACATGGCTCTAAGGTTTGTAAAGCATTGAGCTCACTTATGCCCAGAAGGACTTCAAGGAACTGGCTGGAGTGGGCTGCTGGACATAGGTCATATGGGCCCAGAGGATTCAGTGACTGCTGTGATACTTCCCAGGGTCTGAATTGTGCGAAGTGGGAGTTAGCCATTGGAGTGAAGTGGCAGCATATTACAGGTCCTGTGCTCTCCAGAAGAATAAGGGTCTTGGTCTTGCACCAGGAATTCAAGAGTAATGTACTGGATATTCTCAGAGGGTGATGCTTGGCCAGGGTTCATGGTCTGTGGCTGTGGATTGGGGCAGGAGCAGCTTGAGGCTCCCCTGCAGAGAGGTGGTTACAGGGCTACTCGGCCAGTGAGCTGGGGCCTCCTGTGCTCTGTGCAACTTCTCAGCTTTGCTCCTTGCCATGACCTCTCTTTGCAGGCCCGGAGAGAAGAGAGAAACCTATATCCCTGGCCCCACCTGAGAGTCTCAAAGTCTTGTAGCTTGAGGCATTTGGCCTTACACTCAGCTCCCCCTGCCAGCCCCTTGTCAGGAGGTATCTGGCTTCCCTCGTGGCAGAGAGATCTTTCTTCTCTCTAGAGAAGATGGGGGCACTCTGACCTGGCTCAGGAGCATAATGTGGCTGCCTGCAAGGCCTTAGACTCTCCTTTCGGCTGGAATGTGGAGTTCTCAGAATTCCACCATCCAGTTCACCTGTCCCTGAGCCCAGCATGACTTCTTCAGCATGAGTGGGTGCTGTTTGTCAGAATATCTAGAATGGCTTTTAAGGCCAGTCTGCCCCTGGGGAATGGGAGCTGGTTCAGCATTTTCCAAAGTGGGTTTCATCGAATCCTGGTTTGAAAACATGCTCTAAGGAAAGATGTTCCAAGGTCATTTAAGTTTGGGAAACACCACATGTGATGAATCTCCATGATGACTGATAGAATCATGTGGTGAGGGCTCAAGAGGCCCTGTGCTAGACCCTTGTTCAACTAGATTCCATCCCCTCCCTCACGTTTTCTTGATGACATACTCACACATAATCATATAATCACATTTGAGGATGAAGAAGAGTTTTGTTCTCTTCCTGTTGGTATGCCCTAATGCTCCTGAGCAAGATCCCACCCATTTCTGAGCCTTTTTTTCTCCTCTATCCCTTAGAAATAATGAACTTGTCTGAAAAACCCATAATATGGATAAAATTAAATACTAGACACCAGATATGAAAAATTTTGAAAATGGTAATGTATCTTGTACATACGAGTGATAGAAGCAGGCTGGTAAATGTGGCTGTGGGCTGGTAAATTCCCTGCTTATTTTCCACAAATATTTGGGTGAGATTCTACACTTGGGTTTTGAAGGGACCAAATATAGACACTTTTGTCGGATCACAAGAGGCAAAATAGTGTCTGGTTCTGATCTGAAAATTTGCGACCCTGAATGAGAGATTAAAACACCCCCAGCAGATTTGTGTGGACAGTGCTGCATTGAGAGGGAATCTCTACGTACATTCCTCAATTTGCAAGGACATATACTTGTGAGACCTATGCTCATCAAGACAAAATGCTGTGATGACACACAGTTTAGCAGTGTCCCTGGGGAGTGCTGGGGTGACAGTTACAGGCTGTTTATGGTGACACCACTAGACAAGCAGGCATATATCACCAGCACTTAATTTGTGAGAAATGTACCTACTATAGAGAATGTAAACCCAGCATGCTCCTGGAAGAATGATTATGTGAGGATAACATTTTATTGGAGATGAGATGAGCCATTAGACAACTGTGCACACCAAAAAGCAAAAAGGAAGAAAAAAAAATCCTTTAAAACAAATTTTTATAATGGCGGGAATAGAAAGGAAACAATTAAGATTCTGCTGCAGTTTTTGTAATAAGATGTTCTACCCAGTTAATGACAAGAGATGTTTACTGCTGGCGATCTTCGACATAAATATGTATCCAGGGTTATATGGATCTCACTCTCAGCCACAGTAGTCTCTTAATTATGGACACACTATATTTTGAAAAGTCTGAGGACCCGTTCAACATAGCAACACACAAGTCTCTGGTGTATCTAGGAAGTTAAACTGATTTATTCAAGCATCTGACTTTGCTAGCTTAGCTTTTTCATTTCATTTCCTGATAGGGTTGAGGGTGGGAGGTGATAGGCGAGTGTGAGCCACAGTTGGGGAGGTGGGTGCTGTTTGTCAGAATATCTAGAATGGGTTTTAAGGCCAGCCTGCCCCTGGGGAATGGGAGTTGGTGTAGCATTTTCCAAAGTGGGTTTCATTGAATCCTGGTTTGAAAACATGCTCTAAGGAAAGGTGTTCCAAGGTCATTTAAGTTTGGGAAACACCACATGTGATGGATCTCTATGATGACTGATAGAATCATGTGGTGAGGGCTCAAGAGGTCCTGTGCTTGACCCTTGTTCAACTGGATTCAATCCCCTCTCTCATATTTTCTTGATGACATAATCACACCAACACCTCCTGCCCATCTTGGGCATGTATGAGAATCTTCTGCAGAGGTTGGAGCTCTAAGGTAGAGATGTTGAGAAAGACTTTCCCAGGTTTCCTGTTACCAGGCAGGGCCTAGTGATGCAAACAGTGGTAATCTCTGAGGGCCTACAGTACCCTGTTCTATGCATGATGACATGGGACATCTGGCAAGTATCCCCCATAAACCTCCAGGGAGCTCATACTCCATGGGCTTCTTTATTCCAACCTGGGAAATAGAAACATTGGAGCCAGAGGTAGGTGGTTGTGTCAGTCAGCTTGCTGTACTATAATAAATACCCTGAGACAACTAACTTGTAAAGAAAAATTTTATCTAAGTTTATAGTTTTGGAGGTTCCAGTTCTTGATTGATTTGCCCTGTTGCCTTTGAGCCTGTGAAGAAGCAGCATATCATGGTGGGAACATGTGGTAGAACAAAACTACTCACCTCATGGCTAGGGAGCAAAAGAGTGAGTGGGGCCTGAGGTGCCACAACCCTCTTCAAGAGCATGCCCTCAGTGTCTTAAAGAACTCCCACTCTGCCTCATCTTTTACAGGCTGAATGCTTCCCAACAGCACCTCCCTGGAGAGCAAGACTTTTTAACATATGAACTTTTGTGGGACATTTATCCAAATTATAGGAAGGATGTGGGAGCCCCTCACAATGAATCTGGATGGAGTAGGGAAGCCATGCAGTCTTTTGGGGTAGGGTGAGCTATACCATGGGGTAATAGGGTGAAATTCCTATGGCCCTGCCCCTGTGGGTGGCCTTTGTCCCCTGCTGACTCCTTCCTGTGCTCAGCACCATCTCAGTCCCAGCCTTCATGCTCACATACGTCCAGAATGCCCCCTGAATAATGCTTTGCTGACTCACATCTACCCTCTCACTGCAGGCTACCACGAACATCTGCTATACACCATCTCACGCTCTCCTGCCAACACCCTCATTTTCTTCTTGGGAACTACCTCTACTCTGAGCCAGTGTGATTCAGGTGGGTGTAACCTCTCCATCTGGGTCCAGAGTGGACCCAGGATCCAGCTCTCACCAGTCAGTGTTCTACTTCTCTAGCCACCATGATTGGCTCAAAAATGAGCATGTTGCCCGAAATGGGCCAATGAGAGAGGCTGTTTCCAGCTATGTTCCCCAAGAAGACCCAGAGGGGAAAATCTCAACGCAAGGAATTGACTTTGGAGTTGATCTCAAGATGCAGTGTCAGGGAAGAGGAAGAGTGAAACAGCGATGGGAAAGAAGCTGGTAAGGAGATGACGACACTGGGCAGCGGAGGCTCTGCCTGGCTGAGCCCCTCTGGGAGCTGCTGCAGAATGCAACTCAGAGAGGCTGCAGGGCCAGGAAGCTGGGTATTTGTCCACTGACTTCTGTTCATTGTTGGTTGAGGACTGCACCTAGAGAAATGAATGCTAGTGCCCTTCTGTATTGTTCTCTGAGCACTGGTCTAGTTTGTTCCTATAATCAGAAACAGCTTTTTGGAAGATATGCATTGGCTAGATGGTGAACGCTGGCTGAGTGAGGGATAGGGGCCGGGCCGCACCAGTGTCCCAGGTTTCTGCTGACCTCTCATGCTTTTCTACCCTGATGCTCTTGGCACAATACCTGTCTTTCCAGCATCTGCCATACATGGTCTGCTTGACTGTCCTTATTTTCTGCAATGCTATGACTTTGTCTCCCTTCTGTATTTTCAGGGTGCATTCTGGATTTCTCTCTCCCACCTCCTCTACCAAGTTAAATTTCTATGTTTCACTGTCCCTGAAGATTGTGCACCACATGAGAAGTGTGTCTTTAACAGTGGGGTTCAGGGGTAGAGTGGGGGCTTGCTTTGGGCCCCAGATCCCCCTGGTGGGTGGTGGTCTTCAGCACATCCTGGAAGATGTCAATAGGTAGACTTCCTTTCTTGCTTCCTTGAGTCAGGGGACATGCATCACTGAGTAAGAGTAAATGGAGATAATGGAGCTGTTTACACAGTAAGTGATATTGTTGTTTTATTTTGTGCTGCATTTTGCCCTAACTCTAGAAAACACAGTGCTGAAAAAATAGAAATTACAGTCTCCCTTGCGTCTTGGATTTTTGCTAAAGATTAAAAATGTTACTTCTCTAATCTGCTTCTGAAATTGCTTTGGAAATGCCATCATCAAGACCAAAATGCACCAGGCAGTAGTTAGAAAAGCAAATAATACTCACTCCTCATTTGCCTAAAACCGTCACTCGATTGTGCAATCTGTGAATAGCACCCAGTCTATCCCCTGAGTCCTGTGTGCATTTGGGAAATTAATTATGACTCTCTTATAAGCATCATAAAAGTGATGCACACGGCCATCAGTTTGCTCCATTTCTGCAGGCTGGAGCTATTAAGGCTGTGAGAGGCTTTGTAAGCAGTGACCTGGCTTTGTATGCTGTGAGGGGGAGGGGTGGGCACAGGCAGAGGAAACTCGGGTGGGCTGGGGGCTTTGAAAGGATCCCAGGAGGCAGGACAGAGGGAGGTGATGGACTGTCCTGTGAGCACCTGCTCTGTAGCCTGAGAGCACAGGGCAAGTGTCCTGGCTAGCTGTACAGTAGATATGCGACTTGGGGCAAGTTTCTTTGCCTTCCTGAGTCTCAGTTTCTTCGTCTGTAAGGCAGACATGGTTACAGCACCTTCATCATCAAGCTGTTCTGAGGGTTCAAAGGGCAGGTTCAGCAGAACACTTGCAGGTAATGAGTGTGGCTGCTGTGACTGTTACTGAAGGCAGAAACCACTGGTAAATCAGGGAGGGGCAATAGGATCTCATGGGGTGCCATAGACAATCAGGCCTTGGCCCCAGAGAGCCTCATTGCTGACAGTTCTTTCAGAACAGGCCATTGTTACTGTCTTGGAGAGCCTGAGCCTGTGTCTCCCACTCAGATGCATCCACATGTGGACTTTCCCATCTCAGAACCCTTGCCCACACTGGCTCTGCTCTCTGGATTGTATCTTTTTTTTTTTTTTTCTGGCAGACTGGGCTCCGTGTCAAAAATCTTACCCATCTGCATTAGTCAGCTTTCAGTCACTATGATGAAATACTTGAGCTAATTAACTTATTAAGGAAAAAGGTTTATTTTGGCTCACAGTTTCAGTGATTTCAGTTCATAGTCACTTGGCCCCATTACCTTGGACCCATGGTATCCCAGTCCATCATGGCAGGAGTGTGGGGTAGAGAAGGCCTATTTACATCTGATGCTAAGAAGCAAAAAGACAGAGGGGGAAGAGACCAGTGTTCCAATATCTCCCAATAACATAACTTCCCCCACTAGGTCCCATTTCCAAAGGTTTCACTACTTCCTAATTGAGTTGCAGGCTGGGGACCAAGCCTTCAACTCAAGGACCTCTGTGCAACATGCAAGATCCATACTATAGCCCCATCATTCAAGACCATGTGCAGATGTTACCTTCTAAGAAGCACTGAGCTTGGAAGTTAGTATCCTGGGATCTGGAGCCAGAATGCCTAGCTTCCAATCCAGGTCCTATCACTTACTGACTGTGTGACCTTGGACAAGCCACTTAGCCTCTGTGTGCTTCTGCTTTTTTTAGTTTTAAAATAAGGATAATAATAATAACAACCACTTTGTAAGGTTGTGTAAGATAGAATAAGCTAACACATGTACTTAAGTCAGTGTCTGGCACTGAGACACTTTATAGTACTAATGTGACAATATATCTCTTAGAAAATGTCTTTCTAAGTGTCCACGTGTGCCTGGTCCAACCTCCGGCCTCCCCTTGCTGGCTCCTATCCCCCTGTGCAGGGGACACCACTTCCTGTTCCATCAGACACAGCTCAGAGGCAGCTACAGCAGCTGCCCCTGGGAAGCCTTCCCTGCCCCCCAGTCCTCAGTGCCACCTGCTGTGCTGGGAGTGGTGTGGCAAGGGGATGCCTGCTAAGGGGCCAAGAGGATGAGCGGGGCTAGACAGGGGGTCTGCGGGGACCTGAACAGCAGCTTGGGCCTAGGGTTTCTTGACCTTCTGGACTGGACAATTCTTCATTGTGGGTGTGGTCTTGAATGTTGTAAGACACTTACCAGCCTCCCTGATCTCACCCACTAGATGCCAGGAATATTCCCCTAGTTGTGACAACAAAAATGTCTCCAGACATTGCCAAATGTCCCCTGGCTGAGAGCCATGAGCAAACAGAGGGACAGGAAGGCTCAGGGGTGGGGGAGCAGGTGTTCCAGGCAAGAGAGCCTCTGGCTCTCAGAAGAGCCCCAAGAAGGGCCAGTGTGGCTGGAAAGAGTGAAGTGGGTATAGTGTGAGGCACAACAGTGACTGGGCAGGGATCTGGGTCTACAGTGGCCCAAGTGCCCTGAGGCCCCACCAGCAGCTCCTGGCAGCTGTTCTGGAAGATAAAGGAGAGTCTCCTGTAAGCTTCAAAGCATTTCCTTGGGAATCAGGGCTGGGAGTAATGGGTGAGGGGAGGCAGGAGGTGGGCCAACTACTCAGACTGAACTGGGAAGGCTAGTCCTTGGTCTTCAGGGGCTGCCAAGGATGGGTGAGAGTTATGGTTTGAATAAGAGTTATGGTATGTCATGGTTTGAACAAAAGTTCCTGTAGGAATGCAGGAATATTCGGAAGTGCAAAGGTTAGATTACGAGCACTGTGACCTAATCAGTCCATCCTAGTTTGAATGGACAGAGTGGTGACTGTAGGCAGATGGAACATGGCTAGAGGAGGTGGGCCACTGGGGTGTGCCCTGAATGGGTTCATCTTCCCTGCCTTCCCTGCCCCTCTCTGCTTCCTGGCTGCCAGAAGTGAGCAGCACTCCTCCTCCACACACATCTGCCATGATGTTCTGCCTCACCTTGGGCCCAGAGCAATGAAGTCAGCTGACCACGGACTAAATCTCTGAAACTACAAGCAAAATAAACTTTCCTTCTCTAAGTTGTATTGGTCACAATGACAAAAAGCTCACTAACACAGTAGAGGAAGAAGAGGCCTGATGGTGTTTGTGGGGAGCTGGGCAGGGGGTATTCTAAAGGCTGTAAACACCAGAGTCCAAGGGCACATTGCAGGAATCTGGACAGACCAGTGACTCTTTGTTCCCTCCTTGAGGGTGCTATGGGCTGATGTTTGTGCCCCCCTCAAAACTGCATGTTGAAATTCTAACCCCCTCGGTGATAGATTTAGGTGGTGGGGCCCTTTGAGAGGTGACTGGATTATGTGGGTGGGGCTCTTATGAAGGGGACCATGCCCTTACAAGAGATCTCTGAACTGTCTCAGCTCTTCAGCCATGTAAAGACTTAGAAAATGGCCCTCTATGAGCCCACCTCAGCTTTCACACACAAGGGGCCTGGAGGCTGCACTGGCCACTCTGTGTTGGGTGTTCCCCCAAGTGTGATTAGTAAAGTAACAGGAGACAGCAATGCTTCATGTTGAAGAGTGACTGCGGTGGGTTGGGAGATGTCAGAGCAGGAGGCCTCCCAGCTGCACCTGCCCACTCTCCAAGGTTGCAGTCTGGCCAGAGGTGGTGGGAGAAACATCAGCCCTTTTGACCAGGTGTGACCTCTCGGGGATGATGATGGCTCTGTTTTCAGAACATGGGAAGTCCAGTTGCAGGTAAAGTACCCGGGCAAGGCCTGGCCAGGGTAGGGGCTAGGTGGGCGTTGGTGGTGTTGCTGGTGAGGATTAGAGGCTGGCTTCTAGTTAGCTGAGTTGGAGGAGCAAAGTGGCAGGAGCCAGAAACGAAGCATGAGCAAGCAGGGAGTGGAGGCCTCAGGACACAGGGCTGTGAGCTAGCACTCAGATCTGGGTTCAGATCCTGGCTCTGTCATCTCCTCCTTCATGAGTTTGGGTCAGGGGTATATCCTCTGATCTCAAAAATGGCAGTCAGTGTCCTTTGCAGCATCTGTCTTATGTGTCATCAGGAGACTGAGATAGTGTTAAAAAGTAAGCTGGTTATAGGGCCTGTCTGCCAGTTAGCAGAGAGGAGGGAGCAGGGAGGCCTTCAAAGGCTGCCTGGGAGAGAGGCT